GGGCAAAGGTGTCGACTCGCCCCACCCCCCTCCTGGCTCAGGTTACAGGCTCAGGTACCGTCCCTCACCTAAAGTCACCCCTGCTCGCCCATCCTCCATGCAGACAGTCCCAGTAAAACTAACCGACATTCCCAGGTCAATCCGCCCCACTCCCGCCTGTGTCACAGGGGGTCAGCCCCAGCCAGGCAGGGACACCCCTGCGACCTGGAGAGGCCAGGAACAGGGCGGGCTGATCTCAGCCAAGTGTCTGACAGCAGCTTAGGGCCTGGCAGTCTCCTGGACCCACCCTGCACAGGGAGAGGCTCCCCTCTGCCCCTGTGGGCCAGGGATATGGCAGGGCTGGGGAATGTGCTGGGAGGAAGGGGATGGGAAGGTGCCTTTGTTCTCCTGCCAACTGCTGGCATAGGAGCCTGAGTGAATCCTTTGCCTCTTGGAAGAAGCTGGCATAGCAGCATCTCGTGGGCCCGGCCCAGCAGCTGGAGCAAAGCGGGACCAGGGACAGTGAGCGACATGCTCCTGAACAGGGTGGGTGCCTGGCCAGGGCAGGGAGATGGGGGTCGGTCCCTCCTAGCCAATGGCCATGCCTCTGCCCTGCCAGAAAGGCTCTGGAGTCATTGTCCTGGGGCCTGGAGGGACCCCAGCTCCTGAGGCCAGCCGGGAGCTGCTGTCACCTGGATAAAGGCAGGGGGCAGAGGCTCTGGGGAGCGACAGCTCAGCCCTGAGGGAATGGGCTCTCCAGGTGACTGGGAACGCTCGGCCCACCCTCTACCAGCTACAGCTGTGACCCAGTTGGAGACGGTGCACATACGCACCAGCCTAAACCCCTGCTGGAGCCAGGGCCTGCACCTACCTGCCCGGCCCTGCTGGGCTCTTCCTCGCCTTGCAGGTCTAGACAGACACTGTCAGCACATTCCCACTCCCTGTAGCTGGGCAAAGGGGGGCTGCCAGGCTCTGTCCCAACCCAGACAGCACTCAGGAGAGATCCGCTCCCCCCACTGAGTCACAGCCTGTCTGGGCTGTCCCAGGCAGACAGACCCTTTGTTCAGCAGGCCTGGTTCAGTCAGACCCCTCCGACTCCACGGGGAAAGGCAGGTTCGGCCTTACGCTGCCCTTTGCAAAGAGCCTGACTTGCAGGAGGCCGCCCACTGGCTGCTCCCCTCCCAGCCCCTCTGGAACAGACCGTTAATCCCGCCAGCCCCCCCACCCCACGGGAGCAGGGTGAGCGCCTGTGATCACAGCAGGTGGGGTAGCAGACACAGGTGCAGCCAAGGCCTGGGGCCACACACTGAGCCAGCAGCAGCCAGCAAGGCTCAGCTGTTCCCAGCTCCCTTCAGGCACGGTAAGTGTGATTTGGCTCCCGTCTGGGGAATGGTTTCAATGCAGTTTATGGTACACAGCATCTCTGCTACACCCTTAGGGTGACCATACATCCCATACTGGCTGGGACAGTCCCTTCTTTAAGTCTGTCTCAGCCATCCTGACTTTTCTGGCAAAGGTGGGCATTTGTCCCGTTTGCTCTTGCCAACTTGATCAGTTGTCAAGGCCAAAGGGGACAAATGCCCACATTTGTCAAAAGAGTGGGGTGTGGCGGAACACGTGTGTGTGTGTGGGGAGCAAATCCAGCCCTGACCGGGGAGGAGGCAGGGCTTGGGTGGGGGGCAGGCAGCGCTCGAGTGACTCCGCAGTGACGCCAGCCCCAGCCTCACACAGTAGGCAAGCAGGGCTCAGGCAATCGGCTCAGGCCAGCCCCGTGTGGGGAGACGAGCTCAGGCCAGTACACACTGCTGTGCAGAGGCTGGTAACAAGGAAGAGAGATGTCCCTAGAAGAGAACTGGAGGGGGGGAGGGGCTAGGACTGCCCGTGGGTTTGGCAGCAGTTGGCTCCGGCTCCTGATGGGATCCTAAACATCACAAGCCTGGAGCTAGAGAGGGGGCAGCCCATCCTTGCTCCTGGGAAAGTCCCAGGCATAAGGAACTCCACTGCCCAGGGCCCCTGCCTGCCTCCCAGGAGGAGTGCTAGGTCTGTTACAGAATAAACAGAGCAGGGACTGGATTCCCCCGGAATGCCATTAATTGCAGCCTAGAGGCAGTGACCTCCGCTGACCCCTCTCCTGCGGAATGAGCTGTTCCCTGGGGGCTGGAGGATTCATGGGGGGCAGGCAGAGCCGCCTGGGGTTTGCAGGGCGACAGAGGGCAGCGCCACCCAGCGGCCGTGGCTGGTGCTGCCCACGTGTTCAACCACCGTGTTTCCTGCCTCATCTCCTGGGCATGCAGAATCACTGCCAATACCACAGTGCCTCCTGCTGGACACCGCTGGGTACTGCACAGGATGAAGCAACCGCACTCTTAGCCATCTGTGTGGAGTGCCTCCTGCTGCTCGTAGGGCACAAAGACAGACCTCACGCTGTCACCCGCCGGCTGGCACTCCGCCCTGGCGTGAACATGCAGGGAGCTGGGCCCTGGGCAAGGGGAGCCAGCGTGCCCACAGCCACCGAGGCCAAGGAACCCACAGGAGCTGCTGACCAGAGGTTACAAAGAGAGCGTTTTATTGGGTGCCCCAGAGTCCTGGGCAGGCTGGATGGGAGGGGCCCTGGGGGCATCAATTCCTCTTCTTGCCTTTGCCAATGGCCTTGGCGGGCGCTGCCGTGGGCGCTGCAGACTGGTAGAGCGTGGAGGAAATCTTATTGATGTAGTAGAGGCCAATCATGGAAAAGATGAAGCTGAGAGGAGAGAGAAGGGCAGGCCAGTCAGCACCATCCCTTGCCCATACCTGCTCCCCACATGAGCTCTCTTTGGGCCTGGAGCCAAGCTCCAGCTATTAGAAACCAGGCTGGGGGCGGCAACTGCAGGGTACTGCCCCCTTCCTCCGAAACACTGGCCTGGTGGAGACAGAATCCTGGGCAAGATGGACCAGGAGTCGGAACCAGACATGCAGTTCTTATGTGCTTTGTTACCAGCCGGGGAACGACCCTGCCATCCCTGCGACCCCTCTCCTGGCACAGTGGCAGCCCCGCCAGCCCCATGCCCAGCCGGGGAGCAACCCTGCTGGCCCCGCAACCCCTCGCCCAGGGCGATGTCCTCCCCCGACTCTGAGGCCTGGGAGGCCTGTCCCCACCTACCGCCCCGGGATGGGCTTTTACGTACCAGGTGGTCACACACACTCTGTGGATGAGGCCTGATGCAAAGAGAGCGAGTAAGAGACAGACGAGGACTGGAGAAGAGAGAAGGGGAGAAATGTGAGTGGCAGTGAGTGTCTGCCTTGGGCATGCTGCACTGGCAAGCCAGCCTCCCCTAAGGGGGGAGCAGCGAGTGGGAACCCTCCCCCCAGAGCAGGGCTAGGGTCCCATGGGGGGAGCGGCACGTGGGAACCCCAGAGCAGGGTTAGGGTCCCGCTGGGAGTGCAGTTGGGGGGGGGGGGGAGGATTTTCCCAGGGCAGGGCTGGGGTCCCAAAGGGTGGGGGGGGGGGCGTCTGCTCACAGCAGCGCTGGACTCTCAGCAGGGCAGCTCTCTGCAGATCCAGGATCTCAGGAATAATCAGACGCCCGCCCTCCCAATCCACCTGGGTCTTGCTGTTTCTTTTAATTGTCTGGGAGCCAGAAATGTGATTCCCTCCCATCCCCCTGGGCACGGCTGGGCACTTACTCTCCGGGAATATTTTGGCTTGGAACCCTTTGCCGAAGACCAAACTCTCCAGGTTGTTGAAGGCCTGGAGCCAGAGTTAAGGAAAGGAAGGAAGGGAGAGGAATTATTTCAGCTCAGTACTAATGTGGACACGAGAACGAATGGATATAAACTGGCCTTGGGGAAGTTTAGGCTTGAAATTAGACGAAGGTTTCTAACCGTCAGAGGGGTGAAATATTGGAAGAGTCTTCCGAGGGAAACGGTGGGGGCGAAGGACCTGTCTGGTTTTAAGATTAAGCTAGATAAGTTTATGGAGGGAATGGTTTAATACGATAACATGATTTTAGTCAAATGAACAGCGGGCCATCGCTGGTCAATAGTATCAATGGCCAATGAGGGTCTGGCTGGAGAATCTTGCCTGCATGCTCGGGGTTCTACTGATCGCCATATTTGGGGTCGGGAAGGAATTTTCCTCCAGGGTAGATTGGCAGAGGCCCTGGAGGTTTTTCGCCTTCCTCCGCAGCATGGGGCAGGGATCGCTAGCTGGAGGATTCTCTGCTACTTGAAGTCTCTAAACCACAGGATTTGGGGACTTCAACAGCAGAGTCAAGGGAAAGGGGTTGGGATGGCTTTGTGGCCTGCATCATGCGGGAGGTCAGACTAGATGATCATAATGGTCCCTTCTGACCTTAAAGTCTATGAGAGGCAGCTGCCACTGAGGAGCCAGCGCAGGGTCGCCCCAGGTCAGGTCTCCCCCCACCCCCCCTACGCCCCAAAGGATACGGTGAGGGGGAAGATGAAGAGGGCGGATCCCAGCAGCCCCCCCTGGATGGTCAGCCACTCGGTGGAGGCCAGCTGCTTGCTGTACATCT